GGAGATGGGAACCCAGATCAGGGCAGGGAACCTTCCAGAAAAAGCTAGCCACTCGTACCCAGGACCTTCCACGCAGGGCTCCACCGAGGAGCAGGGCTGCAGGGGGCCGGAGCAGCAGGCTCACCAGGCTGTGCTGTGTGAGGAACGGAGTGTGCAGAGCCTTCCGTACGTGAGACTGCTGTGGTGGAACACATGCTGGGGGTGGCGCTCGGCGGAAGCCAGAGAGGATGTAGTGATTCAAAGCAGTGAAAGAGACCCGTCCGCTTCCCTTGTGCGCCCCAGTGTTTGTTGGCCGGGCCACGAGCACACCCTGCAGCCCCCATGCTAGCTGCTGGCTAAGGGGACCGCTTGATCAAACACCAGACACATTTGGAATCAGCAGTAGCTGGGCACAGAGTAAGGCCTAGAATAACCAGCTGGATTGTTTTCCTCTGGCCCTGACAGTCCGAGTCTCTGAGAAATAAATAGATGATTGTAGCATGGGGCCACACGTCCTGAAATAGAGGCACGTCTGAAGTACTGGCGGCACCAATGGGAGGACTTTGTTCTCCCTGTGGGTGGGGCCAAGCCAGAGATCGCCTGAACTGGACATATAAGAGTTCACTGACTCAGCATGTGGGGTAATGGTGAACGAGAAGACCAAGAGCCATGCCGGTGCGCATGGAGTGTGGGGAAGGACATCCGTGCACTGCCGTGGCTCAGGCCCCTGTGAGGAGCTGGGGTGCAGTCGGGCCTCTTCCCGGAGCTGCTGGAGTGGAGTGGGGCGGGCTCACTGGGTGGGTGTGGCACGCACTGGAGAGAGGCCCCGATGAACTGTTAGAGGAATGGCCATGGCGCTCCAGACAGAACGTCCACGGACACACTGCGTGTGCGCAAAACCACAGAGGAAAAGCCATGCTGAGCGCACCGGAAATAACAGGGCAGAAGTGGAGGAGAGCGTGGGGCCGCACAGCCCAGAAGGAGCACTGCGTGGCGTGGCTCCCCAGGCCGTCCGCCGGCAGTAGGGTGCTATGCCAGACACAGACACAGGCGAGGAAGCCTGTACACTGAGCCAGGACACCCCACGTACCCCAATCCTGGGGCAGAGCCGCCGCTGGCCTTGGTGCGCAGCCAGGTCTGAGAACCACGGAGACCAGGGAGGCTCAGAGCGCCGGCTGCCCGGTCTGCGGGTGGCAGAGGCCCTGGGCGCCAGGCAGGGGCTGACTCACATTTTCAGGGATTGTGTTAACCACAGACTTTGAGGATGAATTAAAACAGGGAAGGCTGAAGTGTTTGGAGAACAATTGGCCCACCCAAGGGAGAAGTAAGTGGGAGGAGGTGCAGGCCTGGACAATGGGTGTCGGGGGGAGGCAGACAGAGTGGAGACTCGTCAGCTGCACAGAAATCTACCAAACCCTGATGAAGGAAGTGACAGTAGACACAACCCAGGGGTCCCATGATCACGGATGGGATAACACTGTAGGCCAGTCCTGCTCAAAGCAGCCTGCAATTCCACCCAAGCCACACCAAAAATCACAAAATGTTGCATAAATATGGAAGAAAATCCACCCTAAAATTCACATGAAATCTAAAAGTACCCCCAAATAACCAAAATAAACTTGAAAAAGAAAAAGAAAATCCAGATTTGGTGGCACAAACCTGTAATCCCAGCACCAGGGAAACTGAGGAGGAAGATTACGAGTTCAGTTCTCATAATCTTCCTGCCAGTCTGAGTTACATAACGAGACCTTGCTTCAAGTCAACCAAAAATAAAGGAAAAAATTGGAAGTTACATGCTTGCTGATTTCAACCTTACTACAAATTGCAGTACTCAAGACTAGTGAGGGTCAGGCATTAAAAGAAGACGTAGCCAGGTACCAGTGGCTCACGCCTGTCCTCCTAGCTACTCAGGAGGCTGAGATCTGAGGATCACAGTTCAAAGTCAGCCCGGGCAGGAAAGTCCATGAAACTCTTATCTCCAATAAACCACCGGGAAACAGGAAGTGGTGTTGTGGCTCAAGTGGTAGAGCGCTAGCCTTGAAGAGCTGAGGGACAGTGCCCAGGCCTAGAGAGAGAGAGAGAGAGAGAGAGGTGTCTCATGGTCACAGGCCTTCCTCACATTTATGGCCACATGACTTCTTGTGTGGGTGGGGTGGGGTGATCGTGGCATGTGAACCCAGGGCCATGTCCTTGCTAGGTGTGTGTTCTGCCATTCGAGCCGCGCCCCCAGCCTCTTTTGCACCAATCATTTGGGGAGAAGGTTTTGTGGTTTTGCCCAGGTGTGGCCTCAAACACAATCCATCTGTTTAGCTGGGATTATGGGCATGTGCCACCACACCCAAAAAGTGGCTTTTTGACCAGAGTGCCTACACCACTTAATTGGGGGAAAGGACAGTCCTTCCAAAACACGGCGCTGGAAGAACAGGATGTCCAAATGCAAAAGACTGGAGTCACACCCTCGCCTGTACCTCACACAGAAATGAGCCCAAACAGAGTCAAAGGCCTAAGTGTGTTTTAACACTAAAAACACAAGCAAAAAGCCTCTGACGCTGGATTTAACAGTTTTAGATACAGCATCACAAGCACAGAGCAACAAACGGAGAAACAGATGAACTGACCACATCAAATAAAGGCTCCTTTGCAGCAAAAAGACACAGAGATGTGAAGAGGCCAGCATAGAATAAGGAAAGACTTGTGATTGCACATAGAGCTCCAACTCAACAACAGCCAATTAAGAATGGGCCAAAGACTAGATCAGACATTTTTCCAGAGAGGATCACCGTGGGCCGCTCAGCACGGGAGACACGGCTAACATCTTTACGCATGAGGAAATGGGGAGTGGAGCACGGTGAGACCTGCCTCGCACCCCGGGGACGGCACGGCTGCCACGGAAGCGAACAGAGAGGAAGTGCTGCGAGGGCGGGGAAGTGGAGCCTGGGCCCTGCCAGGGGACGCTCCGGGCACCGGCCTTCTGAAAAGCAGCACTGTGGTTTCTCAAAGAAAATGGAAAGTGGAATTTCAAAAGGTGCCCTAACCCAGCTTCTGGGCATCTTCCCCGAAGAACTGAAAACAGCTCATCAAGAGGGATTTGCTAGCAAGGTTTGGTGGATGGGTTGTCTCTTAGATCTGGAGACAGGATCTTAGGGCGTAGCTTCGAGGGTCCATTTGCCTCAAGGCCTCTTGCTTGGCTTGTAGCTGCCTTCCCTTGGATGTGCTTGACGCCCCCCTCCTGTGGCTCCCCCTCCCCCCCCACATTGGTGTGGGGCTTAATCTCTCCTTCTAAAGACCTCAGTCCTGCTGGATTGGTGACTGGAATAATGATAGTATTTAACTACATCTAGGAAGTCACAACCCACCACTGGGCGCCTGTAATCCTAGCTACTCGAGAGGCAGAGCTGAGGATCTCAGTTAAAAGCCAGCCCAGAAGCTCTTGTCTCCCACTAACCAGCAAAAAATCTGAAAGTGGAGCTGTGGCTCAAACGGTAGAGCACCAGCCTTGAACAAACAAATTAAGCATGAGTGTAAGGCCTGAGTTCAAGCCCCAACCCTAGCACACACATGTACACACACACACACACATATACACACACGCATACACACAGCCCCGTGAGCTAGGGCTCCTGTCACCTAATATTTACTTACAGTAGCCACAGGCAGGAGGAACTGTCCACCCACTAATGAATGAATAAACAAATGTGGCTGTCCACACACCACACGTGCACTCAGCCTTCCATGGAAGGTCATTCCCACGTGGGCTGTAACAGGACCCAGGCTGGGTGAACCCTGAGGCGTTCTATGCCATGGAATAAAGGGCAGATACTGCCTGGTGTTGTCAGATTCATAGGAGGTGGGCCGGTGGTGGCCTGGGGTTTGGGGTTTGGGGGTGCCGATCCGGTGTTTAATTTAGAGTCTGGAGTTTCAGCCTGAGCACAGCTATGCTGAGATGGATGTGGTGATTCAGCAAATGAGCCAGGCCAGCCCACCCCTTCCCCACCTAGGCTGGTCTCCACACCCCCAGCCACGCAGCTGTGTTCCCAAAAGCAGCCACCTCCCCCCACCACCCCACGGGGGAAGAGGGGACAGGATCAGACAGAAGCAAAGAAGGAAGGAAGGAGAGAACAGGGCAAGGGGAAGAGGAGAGGGAAGGAAGGGGAGGAGAGGGAAGAAGGAATGAGTTTTTTTAAAAAGTTTTGATGATGCATTTTGTTATGTGTATTTTACCACAATTATAAGAACATTTTACGCTGGGAGCTGTTGACTCACTCCTGTAACCCAAGCTAGCTGAGATCTGAAGATCACAGTTCAAAATCAGCCCAGGCAGGAAAGTCCATAAGGCTCTTATCTCCAATTAACCACCAAAAAGCCAGAAGTAGAGCTGTGGCTCAAGTGGTAGAGAACTCGCCTTGAGCAAAACAAACAAAACCCCTCAGGGAGAGTGCCCAGGCCCCGAGTTCAAGCCCCAAGACTGGCATGAAAGGAAACAAAGAACACGAGGGCGCAGGGCAGCATCTGCTTGAGGCTGGCGGGGAGCTGCTGCGGGGCTTGAGGAGGAGCAGGGCCGCTGGGGGACAGCCACCACATGACCGCGCACCCACATCTGCGCCGACCCCTGTCCTCCCGTGGCCACGATAATCCTGAGCTTTATAAGATTGCTCCAAGATGCCCCAAAGCCCAGCTGTCTGCCTGCAAGTGTGTGCGTGTGCTCGTGCACACACACAGGCGCACACACATGTTGGACCATATTAGGGAGGCCGCACGGAAGGTTTGGTCACCAGCCACTGCCCGCCATGCCACCCGCCTCTCCCTCCCGTCTTCCCTCCCTGGGGAGTGGGGGTGCAGGCCACTCCTGGACACTTGGTGGCACATTCTGGAAGGGAACGGGGAGAGGGGCCAGCCTCGGTGGGGTGGGTGGCTGGCTGCCATGTGTCCTCTTCTCCAAGCCCCACTCACATCTCTCCTGACCAGGTGGCATGTCGGGGGGGGCATGCAGCCATTGACCATGTTCTCCCTTCTCCTTCCAGGACCTGAGTTCCTTTGCCATGCCGCTCCTGGATGGAGAGCTGGAGAGCGCGGAAAAGCATTCCTCTCGCAAGGTAAGGCCTGCTTTCCCGAAGCTTCCTGCTTGCTTCCGCCCAGCGCCTCCTCCCCTACCTGCACCAGGCCCGAGGGGCTGCGCCGGCCTAGGCCATACCCCTTCGGGGCTTCCCTCCACTTCCTCGCTCTGGGCGGACCATGACCCCTGCCTCCCAGAGTGGGCAGAGTGAAAAGAGGAAGCCTGACCAAGCTGGATGCTAAGTAGCAAAGAAGCTGTAGAAAGCTCTAGAAAATTGGAGACTGGCCGTGGCTTTCTGCAGATCTCCACCACAGACACAAACTAGAGTTTGGCCCGCCCACCACTGCCAGGCTCTCGCTGCCCCCTCCTTTCCAGCTCCCCAGCCCCCCCCCCAGCACACCCTCCACCCCAGGTCCCCCATGCAGGTGAGGGCAGGCGTGGTCTGGCTGTCTGCGGGGTGGCCGCCCAGTCCCAGCCAGCCTGGGATTCAGACGGGGATTCCAGTGCTGCAGACAGCGACTGTATGAATGGTGTGCAATGGGATCAACAAGTTGTGTTAGGCCCTCGGCACAGTGGCCTCAGAACCAGCTGGGTGGCCCTGCCACAGGAGGCCTGGCCCCGGGGAATGGCTGGAGCGGCAGGAAGCAAATGCTGGGGCTACTCCCGTGAAGACCCAGGAGATGCTGAATTGCGGCTGGAGGGGAGGCTGGGATGGCACCCTGCTTCCCCTGTTTCTTGGGGATATCAGAGGCACTGGTGATGGGGTCTGTGCGTCCCCACACTAGGCCTGGCCCACCCAGTGGGCTTGGTAGAGGAGAACTTAGCTCCGGAGACAGAGACCCACAGCCCCAGACAGACACGGGGGAGCCTCGCACCTTGTACAAGCAGAGCCAGGGTCTGGGGGTGGCTGAGACAAATGAGGGCCGTGGTGGAGAGGCCGTGGCTATGTCTGCCTCTCGGGGCCTTGCTGGGTTTGTGACTGAGCCTTCGCATCCATCCCAGGGCACCACGCAGAGGCAGGCAGGCAGGAGAAAGATTATTATAAGGTTTATTAGAGGAGCCATATTTGCCCCAGTGAGAGAGCACATGGCAGCCTCCACTATCCAGGTAGCAATGGGCTCTGGGGGTGGAAGGGAGGTAGGTGGGAACTCGGGTGGGTCTGGGTGGAGAGGGGGAGGGGCCAGCCGTATGGGGGACTCCAGGGCAGGGAAAAGCTCAGGTTTGGGTGGAGCTGAGGACCAAAGGTGGGCATACTGCTCCCAGTGACCCAGCCCACACGTGGGCTCCAGTGGCCTCACTCACATAAGCATGTCTGGGCGCAAAGCTGCACAAGAGTTCACTGTGGAAGGCGAGATGCTGCTCCTCGCTCTGCTTTAGGTTCACTGAAGCCCAGCCCGCATGGTCGGCCCTCTGGCTAGTGGAAATGCCCCCCCTCCACGCCCCATGGCTCCCACGTCTGCTGCATCCCCGTGGTCCTGGGCCACGCAGCCCAGATGCCGCATTTGTAGGTGAGGAGGTAGACTCGAGAACCGTGGAGCACGCTGCTGCTCCATTGTTGCTGGGTGCTCGGGCTGGTGGACAGCCTGCGGAAAGCATCCGCGCCAGCCTGGCCCCAAGTGGACGCTTCCTGTCCCTTCCAGCTTGCTTCTGCATCTTTGGTCAGTGCTCAGATCCCCACCCGCTTCCAGACGCTGCCCCTTCCCGCAGTGGTGACGGACTGGCTAGCTTGGGCTGGGCGTCCGCCTGGCGGCCTCCACGCAGCAGAGCAAGCCTGGCTTCACCGCCGGGCTTGTCACCACGCCGCACTTGGACTCCCTGGTGTCCTCTCCACCCTGTCCCAGGAGGCAGCAGTTCCTGGTGGCCTGAGTCACCACGTGACTCAGTCACCAGAGTCCTGACCACATGGGCAGCCGCCGTGGGTCAGCGCCAGCAGAGGCAGGTCAGGGCCAGCTGGGTCATTCAACTCCACGGCCGTGGCTTGTCACCCAGCTCCAGGGACCACGGAGCGCTCCACACCTGCCTCCCTCGGCCAGATGTCCTGGCATGCGTATTTGTGGTCGGCTGTGTAGACTTCCCAGCTCCTCTCCTGAGAAGATCGGCGCTTAGGGCACCCTTAGGACCCAGCGCAGGCACCTGCCTGGTGCTCACGCTGCCCGGGGGCTGCATTTGCCACTGGATTGCAGGCCTGGCCTGTGCCTGCGGCAGCGTGCTCCCTCCACCCCAGCCCAGCTGCCTCTGCCCCGGCTCCCCGCCCTCTTCTACTTCCCTCCAGCTCCAGTCGTCGGCTCTCCTGTCTTGTCAGCCCCCACAGGACTTGCTCTCTCTCAGGCCTGCTCTTCCCTCAGATGGGAAGGAGGAGACAGAGCCTCAGGGGACCGGGCCACGCCTCACTTCCTCTCGGTGGCCTCCTAACAAATGGCCCTGTCCGGGAAGCAGAGGCCTGAGTGCTGGCTGGCCATGAGTGCGTGTGGAGCCAGGAGCACGCTGGGGATTCTCATCCACACCCCAGGAATCTGCCAGTCACATTCATTAAAGTATCATGTTGTCGTGGCTGGCCTAATGGCCTGGACCAGGGCTGTCGTGGGCGGCTTCTGGGGCGCCCACCGTCTGCACACCTCTCCCACCCCTGCACCCCTGACAGACAGTCGGCCTCCCCCCTTCCCCCCCTCCCCCCCCTCCCCCGCAGGCTCTCCCAGGCAGCCACCCTGTGGAGGCCCAGTGTCCACTCCTATGGCTATTACAGTTTCAGGAGTGAGTGGAAGCTGGGGCTGCTTACTGGGCTTCCTCAGGCCTGATGGCTAAGTAGCTGACTAAGACTCCAAATATAGAACCAAGTTCTGTTTGGTGTGGTCCAAGCCCTTCATGGCTGGCTTCCTGGCAGTACTTGGCTCCCAGCAAGGGCAGTGCCCGGCCGGCCAGCCTGGAGGGCAAGAGCGCCCTCTGGTGGTGGGAGAGCTACAGTGGCCCGGGTCGGGTCAGCACCTTGGGTCGGGTGGAAGTGCTGGGGACACCCCGTGACAGCTCTGCCACCCAAGAGCAGCCTTTTCAAGCTCCGTCCGGTCCTCAGAGCCTGTGACAGTCACTTTGCTGAGTTGGGTCCGTGAGGCCCCTCAGCTCCAGTGTAACGAGTTCTCTAGGACAGAGCGGGCCGCCGCATGGCTTGGTGATGGCCATGCAGACTCTGAGCTGACGTCCTGCCAGCCCTGCCAGCTAGGGGATGGACAGTCGTCTTCCCTGTACCGATGAGGAAAACTGAGGCCTAGAGGGCACAGTGAGGGGCGGGGCTGAGGTCAGAGCCAGGCCTCAGGCTGCAGCGTCTGGCCCTCTGACCCCATGTGGCTGCAGGGGTGAGGTTTTCTCAAAGGCCGCAGACCAAGGGTCCATGCCAAAGCTCTGGGACCCAATCCCTTTTCAAACCATGACTACAGTTTGGACGTGACTGCTGTCTGCTGCCTGTCATGCACGTGCCCCAGCGGCGTGCGGTGAATTACCCATCATCCCATCATCTTCCAGAAGCCCTCAGCATGGGGCGTGAGGCTCACTGCATTTTGGATCACAGGCACTTGAGCTTTCTCCCTGAAGAAGACTAAAGCTTGTCCCAGTGTAGTGAGGCCCGGGAGGGACTAGGGAAGGCCTGGGGAGAACAGCAGAGGGAGACAAGGGACTAGTCAAAGGAGCCGCATTTGAACATGCCCTCTCCACTCCCTGCCTCCTGCCCCCTCTTGCCTTGGGAAGGCTTTTCCGGAGATGGGGCCAGGGTGGTCAGGGGATCTCCAGGATGAGCTGCTGGACAGCCAGGGCCAGGAGGTCCTCCAGCAAGTGCTGACCCTCCAGCCCAGTTGGTGCCCACCTGTGTAAGAGAGACCAGATTGCTCAGTAGAGCAGTAATGCACTGGCAGCGCACACCTGTAATCCTAGCTGCTTGGGAGGCTAAGATCTGAGGATCTGGGTTTGAATCCAGATGGGCAAGAAAGTCTGAGACTCTCCAATAGACGAACAAAAGGCCAGAAGTGGCGCTGGGGCTTAAGTGGTACAGCACTTGCCTTGAGCAAATGAAGCTCGGACAGCATCCAGGCCCTGAGTTCGAGCCCCAGGACCGGCACAAATGATTATTATGATGATGATAACATACATTAAGGGCAGGACAGACGTTGGCACCCCAGAGTGCCCGAGGCCTCACGCTTGTCTGTTTCCACAGGTGGACAGCCCCTTCAGCTCGGGCAGCCCTTCCCGGGTGCTCTTCTCCAGGGGACCCCAGCCCTCCAGCCCCGTGTCGGCTCCTGTGCGGCCCAAGACCAGCCCCGGCTCTCCCAAAACCGTGTTCCCGTTCTCCTACCAGGAGTCCCCGCCCCGCTCGCCACGGCGCATGAGCTTCAGTGGCATCTTCCGCTCCTCCTCCAAAGAATCTTCTCCCAACTCTAACCCGTCCACCTCGCCCGGGGGCATCAGGTTCTTCTCCCGCTCCAGAAAAAGTAAGACATTGGTGCGGTGGTCTCAGGTGGGTGTTGGGCTGCTGGGGACCCCGCCAAGTGGCACCAGAGCCACGGATGGCATGGCGTGGCATGGCGGCGCTGCGGCCGGGGGTCTGCTCGCCGTGCTCTGCAGATCCTGTTCTTCCCTCTTGCTGGCTGTGCACCCAGCCCTTCTGTAGGGTGCCCTCTGTCTGTGGGGTTAACTGGAACCTTCTGGGTGCTTCTAAAGACACCTAGAGCCCACCCAGGCCCCCAGGCGGCCTGGTGTGGCCTCCACCCAAGGTTTGCTCTCTGAGCTTTGTAGTGTTGACAGTAGAGCGTGGTTGTGTCTGGGGCTGGGTGTGTGTTGGGGACACGGTGGGGTTGGGGGGGCAAGGTCTGGAACTTATTTGTGGTCTGGAGATGTGTGCTGCCCTTGGGGCCTAGTGGATTGCAGTGGAAGTTACAAGGCTGACTGGAGTGGGCTTGTTTCCTCCTCTTCCCTTTCTTGTTCTCTTCTGCGCCCCTGGGACAGGTGACGGGGCAGGGGTGGGGGGTGGGGGGAAGGAAGTGGTGCTGTAGCTCCAGCTGTAGACAGCTAGCCTTAAGCAAAAAAGCTCGCGAACAACGCCCAGGCCCCGAGTTCAAGTCCTAGGGCCAGCATGCGTGGGAGCTCACGCACACATCTGCGCGTGCACACACACACACATACACGCACGCACATGCACATGCACAGTCTTGTTTTACAATACACGGTTTTAGGGAGTCATGACAAGGAAAAAAAAGAGGCTGCACAAGTCCAGCACAGACGTTTCTTGATTATGTTGGACGCGGCTGACCACACTCATGTGGGTCACGCAGAAGGCCGCCGGCTGTGGGCTGTGTTGTGGCACCCATAAGTTTCTTAAAAAGTGTCTTCGCCTCGTTTGGGGGTGGCAGAACAGACTGATTCTCCTCCAGGCTATCAGAGGAAGCATCTGGAAAGACTTGGCAGAGGTGAGGAGGTAACTTGAAACAACCCAGAGTCCCAGGGGGAGGTGTATCAGGGCCCGCTCCCTTTGGGGGCCAGGGAAAGGTGTACCCCAGGCCCCTTCCCTGGCATCGGATGTGGTTGGCACGCTGCAGTGATCCTCAGCTTCTGTGGCTCACGGATGCACGGCTCACGTCTCTGCTTCGCTTTCCCTTTCCTTTTTGCTTTGTTCTGTGAGGGTGCTCGTGTTTTGAACTCAGGAAGGCTGTCTTCTGTGTGGGCCATGCTCTTTTTGCTCTGGTGAGTTTTGAGATGGGTCTCACTTTTTTCCGCGGACTAGTCTGGACTACAATGATCTTGTTCACATGTCCTGCTGTAGTACATGCCACCATGCTAAGTCGAACTGAGGGTCTTAAAAGCTTTTTGCCTAGGCTAGCCTCAAACCATGATTCTTCCAACCTCCGCCTCCTGAGTAGCTAGGATTACAGGAGGTGTGGGAGTTTGTGAGGCTGCGCACAGAGGAAGGAAGAGGAGGAGGCACAGGAACCGGCAGTGCTGGGGGTCACTGCAGGCGGATGGTCCGGGTGGAGCTGGGCGGTGCAGGGCCGTTGGGCTCAGCCCAGCCTGCCCTGACTCTGGGTCCCCGAGGAATGCTGCTGACCAGCAGAAGCAGAGTCCCAAAAGATCTCCTCTTGAAATCACGCCAGTTTCTTAAAGGATTCCTTCTTTAATTGTCTGAGACATTATGATTTGTAGATTTTCATCCTTTTCCAACCATCTTCTTTTAGACACTGGCAGACTTACAGACTGATTGAGAATAAAAGCTAGATTTTAAAAAATAATAATTAAAGCTAGAAGAGAATATGCAAAAACTATTTGTGAGTGGAGAAAACAAACAAAACGCTTATAGTCATTTGAACCTATTTATAGGAATGTATACTTTGTGTACATGTGTGTCCATGCGTGTAGATGACATGAATATATATTTATATATTTATATTTATTGTATGCCATGTGATATCTGAATGACAAGTATGTGTTGCATGTATATGTATGTACACACATATGCACTATGCATTGTGTGCATTCCAGTGTGCACATGTGTGTACACATATGTATGATGTGTGCATATATGGATTAGGTGGGTGTGCATACACATATGCACTGTGCATTGTGTGCATTCCCATGTGCACATGTGTATGCACACATACGATGTGTGTGCATATATGGATTGGGGTGTGTACAATATGCACACATATGATGTGTGTGCATATATGGATTGGGGTGTGTACAATATGCACACATATGATGTGTGTGCATATATGGATTGGGGTGTGTACAATATGCACTGTGTACTGCATGCATTCTCATGTACACGTGTGTATGCACATGTATGATGTTTGTGTGTATATGGATTGGGGCATACACACCTATGCACTGTGCATTGTGTGTTCCCCTGTGCACACATGTGTACACACATGTGTGATGCATGTATATGAATTGGGGTGTGTAACACATGCACTGTGTTGTATGCATTCCCCTGTGCACATGTGTGTACACACATTATGGTATGTGCATATATGGATTGGGGGTGTGCACACACACCTTTTCTACTTTATTTTGGTGGTTCTGGGGTTGAACTCAGTCCCACACTTGCTAGGCAGGTGCTCTGTCACTTGAAACATGCCCCTGGCCTTTCCTGCTTTGGTCCTTTTTAGGACAGAGTGTGGCTCTGATCTGGGCTGACGTGCTGTAGGCCTGAGGCCTGTGGCCCTGTGGCCCCCAGCCACAGGTGGGTGGGCACGTAGGGTGTGGCCATAGGTGGACTTGGGCACAGGCGAGGAGTGGGGGTGAGCACAGGAGTGCACCACATCCGGAGTTCATCCTGGAGGACGGGGTGAGGCCTCAGTCCTCCTCCCCGTGCCTGGACAGCCTTGCTGGGAGTGGGGATCCCACTCCAGACCCCCAGGCCACATGCTGGGCACGAATGTGCCCCTCGGTTTCTGCCATGGACCGCATTTACCTCATCCCAAGTCAGCAAGGCAGGCGCTGCCTGGGGTGCCTGGGTGAGTTAGGGCCATGTGTACCTTGCAGGCCTCCCAGGGGCTCATGGTTGCTGGGTATCAAGGCCGACACTGGATAGAATGTTACTAGGTGCTGAAGACAGGCCAGGCTTCCGGCTCTCTGGGCAGGGGCTCCTGCTGCCTGGGCCTCCCACATTCTGCCAGCAGAGCTCCTCAAGACTTCACTATCTGCCGAGGCAGCCGTGGGCCCGGCTCAGGAAGGCTGTGAATTGGCTCTGAACCGGGCTCAGGAGGGCTGTGATTGGCTCCAGGCCATGTTCAGGAGGGCTGTGATTGGCTCCAGGCCGTGCTCAGGAGGGCTGTGCTCAGGAGAGCTGTGACAGGCTCTGGGCTGTGCTTAGAAGGCTGTGATTGGCTCCAGGCCTTGCTCAGGAAGGCTGTGCTCAGGAGAGCTGTGACAGGCTATGGGCTGTGCTTAGGTGGGAGGTGATTGGCTCCAGGCTGGACTCGAGAGCTTTGATTGGCTCCAGGCCATGCTCAGGAAGGCTGTGATTGGCTCTGGGCTGGGCTCAGGAGGGCTGTGATTGGCTCCAGGCCATGCTCAGGAGGGCTGTGATTAGTTCTGGGCTGAGCTCAGGAGGGCTGTGATTGGCTCCAGGCCATGCTCAGGAGGGCTGTGATTGACTCCAGGATGCTCAGATGGGCAGGAACTATGTTGGTGGGAATGGGTGTGGAGCTGGGGAATTTTGCTTTTTCAGAGAAGCCCTTGGGATGGGTGTTAAGACCAGAATAGTCTTACGGCTTCTTCCCAAAGAGGCATCACTGCCCCAGCCCCGCCCCAGACCTAGTACCAGAGGCCAAGTCTGGACCAGAGGCCCCACAATGAGGCTACCCTCCCACCCCTCCATCCTACACCGTCCCGTACCGTCCCGCACCGTTAGGGTGGCAAGCTTTTGGTGCTGGCGTGGAAAGCAGACAGCTGAATCTGCTTTCCCTACGGCATAGAATCTATTCCTGGAGCACAGTGCCCAGGCAGTAAGTTGTCCCAGATTGATTTTTACGGAATTGAGAGAGCAATGCCAGCAGCCAGGCAGAGGGTCTTTCCTTCTGCCCCAGGAGACCACTGTGCCACTGTGGGCGTGGCAGGGATGTCCCATGGACAGAGCTCATTACCCAGCGTCCCAGGGGTCCTGTCTCGTCTCCATACCAAGAACAGCAGTGTGTCTAGTCAGCTGACCCATTTCCACCTTGAGTCAACATAAATCATGGACAGCCCGATTCTGTCTGCACTACCTGCTACACAGCTTTGACCCACATTTATTCAGAAGGTGCCGGGGAGTCTACTATTAGCCCCCATCCTCTTACTTTTATTCTGTTGCTTGTAATCTGCGCTCTCTGAGTCTGGCTTGTCATTTAGAAGGGAACCGGGACACACCAGAGGATCACTCAGCCGTAGACACTGGGGACAAATAAGAACTCTGGCCTTTGCATCTGGCCAAGGGACCAGCAGATACCTAAGCTGGCCAGTGCCATGGGATGCAGTCTCCTATAGGCCTGCTGGAGGTGGGCTGGTCTTCCCTGACTGCGTGCCTCTCCCCAACAGCACAGCAGTGGCTCTTGGCTTGTCCTGGGCTTCCCTCAGGCTCTTTCCAGCCCACCATGTAGTGCAAACCCACCCTGCTTGGGTGGTCCAGGCCTGTCACCTCACTCTGACAATACCTGCTCGCTGCTGGTTCAGCTAATACAGTGCTCAGCAAACGGCAACCTGAAGACATGCCAATCAGCTTGCTGCCTCCTCTCACAGAGAAAGCCCTTGAAGGGAGCAGGAAAGCCCTTTACAAAGGACAGGACAAGACAGATGGAAGGTGTTACAGGTGTATTTCACACATACCCTTTGTGTGTGTGTGTGTGTGTACACATGTGTGCATGCGCACGCTCTGCTTCTGGGCCTTGAACTCAGGGCCTTGCACTAGACTTGGCTTTTTCACTCCAGACTGGTTGGATTACAACTCTGTTTCTGAATGTGT